GTTTCTTGGAACCGGACAGAACTTGTTCGGGGTAGGTGGGATTGGGTGCTAGGACCCCCCACCTGTGTATGAGGCCCGGGGCCTTCTCGGGCACGGATATTGCTGGGGTGTCAGAGGGGTTTTGCTCGTGAGGCTTCAGGCAGGCAGCTGAAGCGCTCTGTGGGACTGGTTTGTGGCCTGTTTGGAGAGGTCACCAGTCTGGGGGCTGTAAGGAGCCCCGAGTGTGAGCAATTCGCCCTGAGCGGACGCCCTCAGCTGTGCCCAGCCCCAGCCCGGTCAGTCACACTAGCTGAGAGACAGTGAGGGAGTCCTGGAGTGTCTCTGGGTCTGAGACTGTGTAGCTGCATGGGGTAACCATGGCAACCTGTCCCAAAGAAACGAGCCAGACCCCAAATCTGCCCCTTCCTCCCAAACTCTGGGGTGTCCAGGCCTGGCTCCTTGCCTCTGCCCATCTCTGCTTCTCAACTGAGGGTAGATCACTGCCTCAGGTTCTGGGGTTGGGCATCCTCACCCAGAGTTTGCCACAAGGCATGTCCCAGGTTTGCAGCATCCTGCCACCTGCTCCTGGCATTAAACCAGGCCCTGGCCCACGGTCTGAGCCCCAGGAGGGTCCTGCACTCACCTGCTCCCCTGGCGACAAGACGGAGGTCAGGTGTGAGCCCTGAGACACACAGAACTGCTGGGCTTCGAACCACGACTTCTCTTCTTGGGAGAAGTAATAGAGGTTCCCACCGTGACCCCTCCAGCCTGCGGAGAGTTTTGTCGAGAGGACCCCTGGGAGCAGAGACTAGGGTCAGACATCTGGGCTAGTCACAGGGACACCCGCAGGGAGCTCAGGGCTTCTCCTGCTGCATTTCCCCTGCCCCTCGGATGCCCAGGCCCAGGGAGCATTGGAGCCTGATTCTCCAGCCACTCAGTGAATCATGTCGGTGGCCGTAGGAAGGATCCCAGAGACACTGCAGAGAGCAGCCAGCCCAGGGTCCCTCCCCCAGCACGGAAATGCAGCTGTGTCTGGGCTGGAGCATGGGCTGGTCCCAGTGCAGAGCAGCACAGCTTTATTTGGAATGGGAAGACTCACTGCTTAGTTGAGCTAGCCTGGGGGGAACAGTGCTCAGGGACCATTAGTGGTCAGTGATGAAGGTCTCAGGTCTATTGCCCATCGGGTTCCCCCCACAGCCTGTAGGTTGGCGCTGGCCCAGGGACAATTGTGAGCGTAACCCCCCAGGCACTGAAAGGCCGATTTCTCTCTGCCTCTGCCTGGACAGGCCTAAAGCATCCAGCAAGAGCTGGTATCTGGGGGCTTCCATTAGGCTAACAAGGCCTAGGGTGTAATTGAACTCCACACGGTTCTCCGCGGGGTTGGCACATGCGTAGCTGCAGGTGGTTCCTAATGCAGGGGAATTTGGTGTTGGCGAAAGCCTGAAACTCTCGTTTACCCCTGTACTGACAGGAATTGGGGCCGGTCAGCACTGCGGCTCAGACTTACTGAAGGAATCCTGCGCTGCTCGCAGTGCTGCAGTGATGCTATCCAGACAGGTCTGGAGTTCTCTGTTCTCCGCACTGACATTTCCCAGTTCGGCTCTCAGCATCCGGACTCCTGCTTGCACTTCGCCCAGGAGCTGCAGCGCTGGGAGCAAGAACATGGGATTGGTGGGACGTGTTCTAGGGCACATAATTTTCAGAAACAGATGAACAATTTTGGAGGAAACTTCTGCCTTCCGCCCTTTAAAAAAAAAAAAAATTTAGCCTGAGGTTGACACCCAAAGAGAAATTTCAAAGTTATAGGCAACTAAAAACAAAATATTATATTGGGAACTGTCAGGCATCCCTAATAATTCCTATTGCTCTTGGCTCCACCATTAATTACTGGGCTGACAAGTTTACAAATTTGTGGTATTTGTAGTAAGTTGAGGTCAGTAACATGGAGTCAGCAGGCCTAAATAGAGGCCTATAACATGAAAACAGCAACAGGCCTGCAATCTAGTGAGCAAGACTTTGGTTCAGTAACAGGAGCCAAGAAAGGCCCTATTGAAAAATTATGTGATTGTGTAAGTTAGGTCGAGCATGGAAGGACACAGGAAGGTACTGGGTACAGACTGTGAGCCAAAGGGGAGTATTGGAACATCTTAATAGAAATGTCTTGGTACAAAGACTCCCTAAAAACTAATGCACATACCGACCTAGGTTCAGGACTGGGTCGAAATTGACAGCATGAAGGATAGTAAGTAAGCCCCCCTTCTATAGGGGGAGGGGTGGTAACTAGGAAACAGAGGGTGGTAACATGGTACGTAAAGAAATGATGTAAGTTGTTTGTACCTGTCTATAAAAGGACACCGCAGAGGGTGCTCTCCGGCCGACCTTGGGGGGGGGCGCACTAGGCGCCTGAATGGCAGGACTCACAACCTTTGAACCTTTTCTTTCTTTCTTTCTTTCTTTCTTTCTTTCTTTCTTTCTTTCTTTCTTTCTTTCTTTCTTTCTTTCTTTCTTTCTTTCTTTCTTTCTGTAAATCTTTAGATTTTAGACCCTAAAGGATTGGCACAGAGTGCTCGTTTGGGTAAGATCTGAGGTAATTGACTTGGGACTGTGGCCGGTCCTTGGGGCTGGGAGAATCTGTTCAGAGTTGGTGAGATTGGCTTTCATAACCTCTCATCTTGTAAGGTTGTGGAGATGGGAAGAAGGGTTATAACTTCTCCCCTGTGTGAGGTGGGGCTGGGTGGGGCGCAGGGAACACTGGGGTGTCTGAGGGGATTGCTTGTGAGGCTTCTTGCTAAGACATAAGAAGTAATTCTTCAGCTTTACTCTGTATTGATTAGGCCTCATCTGGAGTACATGTGCCTGATTCGACTCTCTCAGAGGTGTCCTCAGACCCCCTGTTAAATTTCACCAGCGCTGTGCTGTCATGCACCAGAGTGACTAACATTTACTCAGCCTAGTGCTGGCTGGGGCCCGAGGGGATCTCCAGGCAAGGTGGGAGCCAGGCAGTGCCCCTGGTTGTGTGAGGTTATGTCTACACCACAAAGAAAAGTTGGGAACAGATACACACATTGCAGTTTGTGTATCTTTTTCTGCTTTTCTTTCAAAAGTGGCTTTTCTGACACTTGGCCCGTGTCTTTTGGAACATCCCTTCTCCTTCGTAGAACAAGGCTTACAGAGATGCTGAAAAAATGCGTCTGCTCTTCTGATTTTTTTTCCTTGGATGCGGCAGAACTTTTTCTGTTAGAAACGTCCTGCAGTGTGGACACAGCCTGAGAGACGCCCAGAGCCCAGGGAAGTGACAGCTCCAGAACCAGACTGTGATCTCTCTGCACATGGCTGGGGCTGCCTCCCGCTCTGCAGCCCTCAGAATCCCCTGGCTGCTGTTTCACACTCAGGTCATGCCTGCTCCCAGCGACAGAAACCGAAGCAGGGCCCAGAACCTGCCTGAGTGCAAAGCTCCTGGTAAGAGCCGTGTGGTTAGATGCAAACTGACCCGCTCCAAGTCCTGCTCCGAGCTGTAGGGTGGCACTGAGCTGGCGAACAGATACACAAATTGCAGATTCTTCCGAAAATGGCTTTTCTGGCACTTGGCCTGTCTATATGCGGGCAAATGTCAGAAAAAGCCCTCTTTCAGAACATCCCTTCTCCTTCAGAGAACAAGGTTTACAGGGATGCTGAAAAAATGCATCTGCTCTTCTGATGTTTTTTCCTTGGAAGGGGCAGAAGTTTTTCTGCAGAAATGCTCTGCAGTGTGGACACAGCCTGAGAGACGCCCAGAGCCCAGGGAAGTGACAGCTCCAGAACCAGACTGTGATCTCTCTGCACATGGCTGGGGCTGCCTCCCGCTCTGCAGCCCTCAGAATCCCCTGGCTGCTGTATCACACTCAGGTCACGCCTGCTCCCAGCGACAGAAACCGAAGCAGGGCCGGTCACTGATTTGCACTATTGCCCCTGGGGTCACAGAAACTGAAGCAGGGCCCAGAACCTGCCTGAGTGCAAAGCTCCTGGTAAGAGCCGTGTGGTTAGATGCAAACTGGCCCTGCTCCAAGCCCTGCTCCGAGCTAGTCTCTCTCCCAAGGCGCCGGGAGCAGAAATGATCAAAGAGCGCCAGGTGCCCAGAGGCGCAGAGATGGGCCGCAGCGCCCGTACGGCTCCAGCAGCTCTCACGCACCCGCTGCCTGGGCTGTGAGGCTGCCCCTTG